CTGCTTCCGGGTGCAGGCTGAGCCCTGCTTCCCAGAGTGCTTTTGCATCGAGTATTAACGATTACTTAGGTAATTAGATAGCTTCTTAGAGGAGAGGAGGGTGGGAACCGAGCAAAACCGGAACCCGGAGGGCTATCACCTTCCCAGTTGCTTGGGAAAGTAATCAGCTAGCTCTTACTAGGATCAGCTAGACAATTTTCTAAAATGGCATCACGGAGGTCCCGGCCGGGATGTGACATTAGGCTTTGTAAAATGTGGCTAGAGAGGAGCTCTGGAAGTTTTACTGTTCCAAGCTGACTTCCACACCCCCCTCCTCTATGCACCTGCTACCTTTTGCAGCTTGAGTCCTGTCTTTTGCAGCTTGAGTCTTATATATAGGTTGAATGGACATTTTGTTCTGAGTGTGGTTTCTGTTCATGACATGATCATAGATTCAGGGACTGATCTACAGACAGAAGGGAGGCTTTAAGGGACCAACTTCACTGAGGCTTCTAACTCTTTGCTATGTCCAGTCATAATCAGGCACTGAGAAAAAGTCCTCATTTTGTACTTTTTTTTGTTTGTTTTTGCATTTAAGCTGCCTCTCAGTTATTTTAAAGTTAGATCACAAAAGGTCTTGAAGAGAAAACAGCATTTCTTGGTATTCTTTGCAGGGTGGCAAAATTAATCAGCATCACAGCCAAAACAGGAAAGAAAAAGAATGATTTCTTAAAAAAGTAAAACAAAAATGATGCTGTGACTATTTCATTATTTTACCCCCCCCCCCAATTTTTCCTGGCAAACCTCTTGAATGGGCTCTTTATTGTAACTCTCCCTTCCCAATTGAGCTCCCCACGGTGCCCTTGTATCTTTTTACAGCCCCTAACAACTCACACCGGTAACACAATTACCTCCAGATATTTATAACAAGAAATTACTTTACTATTTTCTCCATCTTTCTTTCACGAACCCCCTTTCTGAGGGAAGGATGGCAGGGAGGGTGGGTGGGCGGACTGAAAGCGTCGAAGAGAGCTGTGGTGAGTCAGGACTTGAGGGAGAAGAGTCCCTCTTCTCTCTCTGTGAGTTGGAGAGTTGTTGGTTCCTTCGCTTGGACCTGGTGTTGCTGCATTGAGAGTCTTGGGTTTGGGGAGAGCCACAGAACAGAAGCCATTGTTTGGTGTCTGTAGACTCTGTAGCCCGTGCTTACCCCCTCCTGCTTGTACTTTTTAAAGCCGTGAGGCGAGGTAGCCAGCGTGTGTCACAGCACAGGAAAAGAGGGGGACCTAAACACTAAAAGCAAAGTTAATTACAATAAATAAGGTTTAAGGTAAAAAGTTGGGCTCATCACTTGCTCTGTCCCGAAAGAGCTGAGATTTTGGAGGTCTGACTGGAAAGCTATGTGTGTGTGTGTGTGTGTGTGTGTGTGTGTGTGTGTGTGTGTGTGTGTTGTGGGGGATGGTTACAGATAAAGAAGTAACCAAAGAACTTAGTTCTAAGGGTCTTTGGACAAGCGAGGTACCTGAATGCGTCAGGAAGAGAGAGAGCTTGGTCTGAGGCTCCCCCAGACTTTCTAACCTGAGTCCTCAGACACTGCCACGGAGAGCTTAGGTTCTCCACTCCTGAGGTCAGGTGTCCGCCACCTTCCCCAGCTCTCTTTCTCCCCTTCTCTCTGCTGTTTTGGTTTAAGACTCCTCCTTTCCCTGGCTCTTATTAGTTTCCCAAAGTAAGACCCCAACTCTAGATCCCCCAAGCTTCTATAGACAAAGCAGCATTTTCCAGAGGATGTGGATTTCTGTGGCAGAGGCCGCTGGAAGTGTGGGGTGGGTTTGGCGCTCCTAGGGAGAAGGATCACTTCGGGTTGAGCGGGCCTCAGCCAACCAGCCAATGTATTCTTTGGGGCCGTTTTGACATACCTTTCTCTCCCTCTGTTTTGTCTTAGGCAGAAGACTTTAACTAGGGACGAGCAGATGTGTGAGACCTTCTATTCTAAGAGTGGACGTATATCCCAGTTTTCAGGCAAGTTCTGTCGTGCTGTTTTGGGCTTCAAAACCTGAAAGGGTTTTCAAAAACCCTAGTTTCAGGTGGGAAAACAAAACTGGACCATCGTTTCTTCCGATGAAAAGGCCAACTAGTAAAGAATTTGGGGAAACTGCTCGTGAATGTTAGATTATTTTACTCGCAGCTCATCAAAGTATATTTTGCATGCACAGGAGGGCAAGGCCAGGTGACCCTCAGATGGCCCTAAGCGGCTGAGTAGCTCAGTTTCTAAGAAAAGGAGGATTCTCCGGTCCTTGCACCAGGGCTTCCTCAGTAGGCCTACCTGTGCAAAGCCCGGGATTAACTCCAATTTTCTTGCTATCAGAGCCCCAAATTCGAGCCCCGTGGGAGCCGGAGGCCGCCAACCAGAGCCAGCATGCAGAACAGTAAGTGTCTCAGATCTTTCGCTGGACGTTTGGGCTGGAGGCTTGCGGACAGGGCCGGTGGGTTAGGGGAGAGCACCGAGTCTTGGGCCCAGAGGAGTCCAAGCCACTGGGCAGGAGGGAGGAGGCCTGGGGATCTATCCGGGCAGCGCCAAGCAGCCCGAGAGTGAAGAGAGCCAAGTAGCCCGCGAGTGAGGGCCGGGAGGCGTTCGCTCTGCTGTGCTCCAGAAGGGCAGGGTCTGGGGCCCTTCAAAACTACTCGCCTGAGTTTTTGAAGCTGCAGTGGAGAAACCCCATCCCCCCCAAATCCTGTAACTCATACCTCCTCCCCGCCCCTGCCCGGGCTCTGACCCCAGAGAGAGGGGCTGGGCCGAGCAGGGCGGGGCGAAGGCTTCCCCTGAGAAGAGAGGGAGGCCCCCTTTGGGCTTGGCCAAGACTGAACGTCTCCTCCGACCCCGAGGGGTGGGGGGCTTCTCTCCCCTAGTCAATCTCAGGCCAGCCCCTCCCCTCCTCACCCCAGCTACAGGCCTAGAAGGGGAAGGGGAGTGGACACGCAGGGGCTCTACCCTGGTGGGGAAGTGCACACCCACGGTGCAGAAAAGCATCTTTACTGGGTCTGGGAAGAGGGTGCAGGCTGTGCGGGTCAGGAATGAGAACCCTCGCTCTAGCGAGTGCAACAGCGTGGCCCTGGTTGATTCCGGCTAGTTCGGTGCTTTGGATCCCAAAGCCTTTGTACCTCTCTTCTTACCTTTGCCCAGGTCCATTGGGCCCCCAACCTTTCTGCTCAGCCAATGGCTGCTGGTATGTGATAGAGTTAAGCCTAAAAGTCAGTCCTGGTTGCCAGCGAAGCTAGGCCCGGTTGAGGGTGAGGAGCATAGGCAGGCTTAATTAAGGCTGCAGCTATGCTCTGGAGCGTGGAGAGGCCTAGGTCTTCTAGAAACCTATCTTTGTGGAAATGTACAGGCTCAGGAGTCCGGGATCGGTGTTCTGGAGCAGCTGGCTGCACTGTTGAGGCCACAGGATCGCGCCAGGCTCAGGGAAGGGGGCAGAGGTGTGAGCTTTGCAGCTGCATTTGTGGCGAACCTGTCAGGCCTATACCGCGGAGCTCAGACTCCCTGGCCCTAGGTTGTTGTTGTTTTTTTGTTTTTTTGTTTTTTGTTTTTTTTCAGGTGGGCCGAGAAGGCTCTCAGCGGCGGGGCGAGCGTTTGCCGCTCGGGTATGGCCTGGCTGGCAGGCCCACAGGGGCCCGGGTCGCGGGTTGGCCTGTAGGCTTTGTGCCGCTGGTTCCCGGGTGTGCGCGAGGCGCGGAGGCTCCAAATTGACACCATATGTTTTCGTATTAGAAGCTTTGCGGTCGAATTCTGGGCGCATAATCATCGCCACTGGGCGAGAACGGCAGCAGTCCCTGGGGAAGGGACACGATGATTGAGGCTTAACCTCTAAAGGGGAATTTAGAGCAGTGTTTCCTCGCTGCCATTTCGATGCTGGCAGAGGCGCCCGGCCTCGTGTCTCTCAGACCAGCGCACGCAGGCTGCAGCTGTGGAGATGGCGGGCACGGTATTTTGGCAATAGGGGATAAGGAAGGGCCTAGAGGCCTTGTGCGCCCTAGCATCTGCAGACTGGGAATCAACCCTGCCATGGCTTGGGGAGTTTTCTTTTGGTTTCTCTGGGATGGCCTTTCTTTTCTTTTCTTTCCATTTATTTATTTATTTATTTATTTATTTATTTATTTATTTATTTATT